ACATTGAAATCTATGAAATAATGTTTTCATTAAAATGACTATCAAAAATTTATTTAAGCTACATGGAAACAGCTGGTAAACAAAACACAGTGCTTGACATAGTTGATTCCCACATACATTCCCCACAAGCTGCTTTAAGGTTTAATTGTTTTATAGAAACTTGTTTCCAGTATCCCAGCAGGACAGCTTCTGCTGGGATTACATTCAAATTCTGAGGTTCTGCTGATTACTAGTATATTAAAGAATGAAGCAAGAATTGTTTTATTAGTATGTTTACTCAAAGCAGGCTGCTGTCAGATATTTAATCCAAGTATTTGAATGAAGTTTAAAGGAACATAAAGATGTAGGAATTCACTGCTGAAAGTCAACTTCAGGTACAGCTAACATTAGATGCATTCCCACCAATCATACCACTCGTGAGTCAGAGCCAGTTCTACAAGTTATGAGTAACTAACAGAAGTCAGTACTTCTACAGGAGGAAAGCCACTGTCATAGGACATCCAAGGATCTCACTGACCCAGAGTTAAAACAAGTACTCACTCAGTAAGTCCATTTCTAAAGCGGGTAAACATATGTATTTTTAAAGAAGTTGAACTAGTAGAGTCTAATTCATCAAACTGGAAACAGTAAGGCTTCTAAGATTTATCTTGTTTGCCACAAAAAACTTGTTACACTAGAAAAACGTCAGTCAACTTTACCCTAAAAGCAGCCACAGTCAAGTGTATCCGAAAAGCAGAATAGCACAGTGGTACCATACCTTGAAGCCATTGATCCAGGGTGCTATCAATAGTGCACTTTACTACAGGAAGGAACTCAGAGTTCATAAAGAGCCCCCGCTTAGGATGGTTCTGCAGCCTCTCCTGGTGACTTCGTGAGCTGAAAAACTCTAATATCAACTTTATCTGCCAAAGATCAGATGTATCAGGCATTTCTCTCTTTCCAAGTCTTCTTAGAGTCTAGGCAAGGAAAGAGTAAGAGCGGCCTGTTTAATGAAAAGGTAAGATGTTCCAATCATGTCTTCCTCAATGTTGCATGCTAGGGTATGAACTAAACATGGCTGACGAGATTGACAAAAGGTTGTGAGGATCCATGCTGTGTCGAAAAGCAGTTGACTCTGTAGAGGGCCTTTCCTGGTGTGGTTGCATGGCTCACTTTCTTCAACATAAGAACAACTTCCAAGTAAAAGCAACAATGGCCAAACTCATTCTTGGCTCAGCAGCTCTGAGTCACCACTGGGTAAAAGGCTGGGAACAGTGATGCAGCAGTGATCAGACAGGAACTACAGGGGGCAGAGGACAAGTACCACACTGCTCTTGAGATCCACCTGTATAGGCTGGAGACATGGATCATCAGTTAAGAGCACTTTCTGTTCCTCCTGAGGACCTGGGTTCTGTTCCCACTACCCACAGGGCGGCTAACAATCTTCTGTAACTCATTACAGAAGATCTGACTCCCTTGTTCTGACCTCCATAGCCACTGAACACATTGCATGCACATCCTGCATTTACATACGTGTAAGCCACGCACTCATATACATAATAAATCTTTTAAAAAGAAAAAGATCCACTCTTTTCCTTTTGCCCACCATCGTGCTCTATACACCTACCTCGGTTTCTCATAAGACTTTCAAAATCAAGTCATTCCTGTCCCCTCCACCCCTCCCCCAAAAGCAAAATCTTCCCAGTCCCCAGTAGATTGTGAAGAAAACTGGTAACAAAATCAAATTCAACTCCAAGACACTGAAGGAGAACCAAGCTGGGCTGGTAAAGATTCATACAAAATGGTACAACTGACTGTTTAAGCTGAATCATGATTATCCATTGGTCTTACTGGGTGGAGTTGAAAGTTTTTAACCTGGAGATTTGGTCATATTTAAATTAGGAACCTGATTTGCTTTTTAAAAAACTTTTTATTATTTTATGTGTTATACAGTGCCCAGAGGCCAGAAGAGGGCGTCAGATGCCCTAAAACTGGAGTTTTGAATGACTATAAGCCACCATGAGGGTGCTATGAATTGAAGCTGGGTCCTCTTGAGGAACAGCAAGTGTTCTTAACTGCTGTGCCACCTCTCCAGTCCCCACCCAAGAAATAGGATATGATTTGAATATGCAATCCTCACCTTTAGACTTTGGAGATCTCATGATTCAGCTTCATTGTTGGGACCGAATGTCCACATGGACAAATTTGACTGAGAGGCCAAAAGAAGTGAGGCTAAAATGATGAAGTAGCAGGTTTGAGAACAAAAGTCTGGTCTACAGAGCAGAGTTCTAGGCCAGCTAGGGCTACATAGTGAAACCCTATCTCAAACCCTGCCCCAGAGACAGACAGAGAGAGAGAGAGAAAGAGAATGTCCATCTGTAAAGTCACTGAAGGGGACATTCATCCATGGAGACTGTCTTTGACTGTGGAGGGGTGAGGGTTCCCAGAGTTTTTAAGTTTTTAAAAACACTCAATCAGCTAGGCTGGAGAGATGGTTCAGCAGTTAAGAGCACTGACTGCTCTTGCAGGGGACCTGAGTTCGATTCCCAGCACCCACATGGCAGCTATGAACCGTCCTTAACTCCAGTTCCAGAAAAATCCAAAGCCCTCTTCTGACCTCTGCGGCATTGCACAACAC